GGGCAGGAGAAAACTGCACCGAGTGCTCAGCGGTAGGGAAAGTTGCATCGGGGGGAGGAGAATGTGAATCGATGCCTTGAACATTTTTTTTTTCGCTCCGCAGACGGCGTGTCCAAAGGCTCGGCGGCGCTGGACGACAGCGTGAGCGAGGAAGAGGAGGAGGAGGGGAGCTTCGACGAGCTCGCCGACGTCACGCCGTACCTGGAGCCAGGCGTGGAGCTTTCCGTGCTCGTGGAGGTGAGCTCGCCGCCGCTCTCACGTTGACTTTATGACATAAGGGTTGATCGCGGCCGCGGGGGCTTTGCGAGTGCGTCCCGCCCCCGAGAGGAGACGTGAGGATAAACTGCGTATTCGACATGTTTGGCAAGCCGGGCCGTAATCTTTCATGTTCGACACGGGCTCATCGGTCTTGTCATGTGCGTCGGCGCAGTGGATCAACTCGGGCCACGCCGTGTACGCTGAGGCCCTGTGGGACCATGTGACCATGGAGGAGCAGGAGCTGGCCTTTAAGGCAGGCGACGTAATCCGCATCCTGGATGCCTCGCACAAGGACTGGTGGTGGGGCAGGGGGCCCGACAAGGAGGCCTGGTTCCCCTCAAGCTTTGTCCGGGTGAGTGCACTTCCTGACCCGCTTATTTGCACTCCACTTGTAAACTGGCTTTACTCCAAACGAAAGCCAGTCTTAACGCTGCATGTGCGTGTGCGTGTGCGTGTGCGTGTGCGTGTGCGTGTGCGTGTGTCTACCACCCACTAGGGGTTCAACTGGTCTCTGTGGCAACCAGTGTTGAGTGACAGTTGAGTTTTAATTAGCCTCTTTTTTGATTGACAGATAGATGTTTGTTATGTAATTGCTCGCTGCTTGTTCAAAGATGCCAAGCAAGAGCTGGTTAAACGTTCCCCAAATCACATAAAGTTGCTCTGAGGCTTTTTTTTTTTTTTGTGTGTGTGTGTGCTTAAAGTTGTTCTCTTTTGTACTTTTTTAGTTGCACATGCAAACTGTCGAAGAAGCTTTTTAAATGTATGTGTGTGTATCTATGTATAGTATGGATATGCATACGTGTGTGAGAGAGAGAGAGAGAGAGAGATTTTTTTTTTTTTTTTTTTTAAATATATCTATTCTATGTTCCCGTCCACTTGTTTCAGGTGCGCGTGAACCAGGAAGACTCCAGCGCGGGGAGTGTGGAGAGCGTGGCCGACCAGGAGGACCCGGCTCCCCGCGAGACGCACAGCAGTCAGCACAGGCAGCAGATGAGGACCAACGTGGTGCAGGAGATCATGAACACAGAACGCATCTACATCAAGCACCTGAAAGACATCTGCGAGGTGCGCAGGCATCACCTTTTTTCTTTCTTTGTCAGCAGAATCAGTGTTGACAACTTGGCCAACCTTTTCTTGGGATCCAAAGTTTTATTTTAAGGCAAGCGCCCAGCCTTTTATTCATATAAGCCTTCAGGCTGGTCTTTTTCCTTCAAATATGAGCGAGTAGCCAGCGTCGTCATCATGCTTCATTCAATGTTCAACTTTAGCTTCCAGCGCTCCCTGTAGGCCACTGTCTGAACTGCTTCCAGAGTTCAAAATGCGAGTATATTCTTTCTTGCAGGGTTACATCCGTCAGTGCCGCAAGCACCCGGAGATGTTCAACGAGCTCCAACTAAAGACCATCTTCAGCAACATTGAGGACATCTACAAGTTCCAAAGGCAGTTCCTTCGCGACTTGGAGAAAAAGTACAACAAGGAGCAGCCTCATCTCAGCGAAATCGGCTCTTGCTTTCTCTTGCAGGTCAATACAGGCGATATTGGGTTTTGCTGGTAAAATTTTAGGATGACTCTAAAATGTAGAGGACCTAACCTTTTTATAGGTGAACTTAACTCTTTCATGCATCCTCTCTCTTTCTTTTGTCCCCCCCAAAGGGCGAGGGATTTTCGATCTACTCTGAGTACTGCAACACCCACCCGGCGGCCTGTGCCGAACTGCAGCGCCTCATGAAGTCTGGCCGGTACAAGCACTTCTTTGAGGCCTGCCGCCTCCTGCAGCAGATGATTGACATCTCCATCGCCGGCTTCCTGCTCACTCCTGTCCAGAAGATCTGCAAATACCCTCTGCAGCTGGGGGAGCTGCTCAAGTACACCCCCAAAGACCACAGGTACCGCTCCGACTCCTTACAGCGGAGGAATGGAATTTTTTTAAGGGGTCAGCTAAACGTGCCTTGACGCCTCCTTGTCCCACGCATATCTTATCACTTCACACAAACGTGTATATTACAGGATATGGGTCATAAACTCATTTTAGTACAAGAGGCTGCAGGGACATGAGCGGATCACATGAATCACACAATAGGGCTCGAAATCACGTGTCAAGCTTAGCGATAGAAGTACTTGAATATATTGTTTGACATTAGTGAAGTGTGAACATAAATTAGCTCATTGGCAGTGACTCAAATACAATGCAATTCCTGTGGGAAATATGTAAATACAATCAATGTGTTCTTGGGTCAAACTTTTTTATTGTCAATGTTTTCCTAACGTTTCGCGGCGAAACATTGTGTAGGACGAAACTAAATTGAACTAAAATGAGGTGAATAAAACTACTCATCCTGTGACACTCATCGTGTGCGTCTTGCAGGGTTTTTTGTTTTTCTTCCACATCTTTGACTGTCAGACAAGTTTAAAAAGAAGTTAACTGTTGTCTAATAAATTAAAATAAGGTAAAGCCACTCGAATACCTTTTGATAAACATGTAACGTAGACCCTACGGGTCAGTTATGCCACTGCTTAGTGACGTTTACTGCTTGAAATTGTGTCATCGGTGATCACGTTTTGGAATTAACATCCTGGACGCCTCCCTCAACTCAACCAGTGGTGGGTGCGTGCAGCAGTTTCTCAAGCGCCACATTTTAGTTACCATTTTCCTTGGAGGGCCGTTATGAATTAAACCATATAAAGAAGTCAAGAATCACAGTTTATTCACCTATTGTTATTGTTACTGTGGTGAGAGGTTCGGTAACAAGAAAATGCCTACAGTATCACTCTTATTTATTACAAATGAGAATTTGAAATTTTGGTCGAGATTTTAGCAAGCATCATGAAAGTTGCCATCTTTGATTTACTTTCGTGGGCCACATAAGATGACGTGGCGGGCCAGATCTGGCCCCCGGGCCTAGAGTTTGACACCTGTGGTCTAGACATGTAACAACATGGTGATGGGAGTTTTTCCTCAAGTCAAACTAATGTCATGCTTTGTGCCTTTGAACATCCCTGACTGCGAATCCACGTTAACTAGCATCTCGTAAAACTATAAATAAGTAAATCTGCTCACCCAACTTAAGTTGTGTTGCTGTTCCCGGTGCTTGTAGGGACCACGGCGGTGTGAGCGACGCCTATGAGGCCATGAAGAACGTGGCGAGTCTGATCAACGAGAAGAAGCGGCGGCTGGAGAGCGTGGACGCCATCGCCCACTGGCAGGTGGCCATTCTCCGCTGGGAGGTGACGACCACGTTCGAAACTAAGCCAAAACCGCCTGCCGATTGCTTTCGGCTAAGAACGTGTCGTTGGTGACGCAGGGACCCGACGTGCTGGTGCGCAGCTCCGAGCTGATCCACTCTGGAGAGCTGACTCGAATCCTCCGCCAGGGCAAAATGCAGCAGCGCAGCTTCTTCCTGTTCGACCACCAGCTGGTCTTCTGCAAAAAGGACGTCCTGCGCCGGGACCTCCTCCACTACCGAGGGCGGCTGGATATGGACCTCACCGAAGTGCTGGACGTTCCCGACGGGCGGGACCCGGGCTTGGGTCTGACCCTGAGGAACGCCGTGCGCCTGCGCCACGCCGACACGCTTGAGTTTGTGTGCGTGCTGTGCTGTCGGAAGCTCCAGGACAAGGAGAGGTGGCTGCAGGCCTTCAGCAAGGAGAGGCAGCGGGTCAAGGAGGACCAGGAGATGGGTGAGCCTCCCACAACGTACACCTACACTTGCTCAACTGCAGATTTTAACTGGGAAAAGTACATTTAAGGCCTGAATTAAAAATCGCGACTCTACCCACCGGTTAATTGTTTTGATTTCTCCATTGCTGCTGCTTAAAATATGCTCTTGACATGCTACTCCGCAACCCCTCCATGCATCCCTCCTCTTCTACTTATTCTGCAGCATGATCCTGGCTGATCCCTTACACCTGCTGCCGCCTGCTGGACAGATTGTACCTGATTTACAATGCAGACTTGTACCTGATTTACAATGCAGACAAGCCTGATCCTTACTCAGATTAAAAATGAATAATTTCAATCAATAAACCATATAATATCAAGGAACACGGTTAAGAATTTAGGTTGTCAATGCAGGTCAGGGCTTCTCATCGTGTTTTGATTCGTATGGTTTGTTTCCAGGAATAGAAATCAGTGAGGAGCAAAAGAAGCAGTCGATTGCGAACGCCAGAAGAGCAAAACAGGGCAAAATGCACAGTAAGCAAGCAATAATATTCATGTTTGATTATTCATCAATATATTTGACCTTTTTTTTTTTCCTCCCACCTTCAACGTTCCATCCAGCTGTGGGCTACTCCGGCTCCGTGCCCCCGCACCACCAAAACCTCCACCCTCTCCACCAGCGACACGTGACCATCCCCACCAGCGTCCCCCAGCAGCAGGTGTTCGCCCTGGCCGAGCCACCCAAGCGAAAGCCATACCAGCTACTCTACAGCATCACCCGCAGCACCTTTTTCAGGAAGTGAACCAGATATCCGTCCATTCCTTTGAATGTACTCGTTTGTGTGTGTTTTGTAACATGTTGTTGACTGTGCCTTGGATGAAGAAGGGGCGACTAGTGTTAAAATACCGACTGTTTTGTTCTGGTACCCCTCAACTGTGTCTCTGTGACAATGATGCCTCATCTGCTTTTATGTTGACTCGTATTTTATTTCACAAAGGCTGGACCCTTTTTTTTTTGTTGTTGTTTTTATTTGGACTTCTGCTGCTGAACACCCTGTCTGTGAATAACATTGTAAATAAAACTCTTGTTAAACCATATAATATCAAGGAACACGGTTAAGAATTTAGGTTGTCAATGCAGGTCAGGGCTTCTCATCGTGTTTTGATTCGTATGGTTTGTTTCCAGGAATAGAAATCAGTGAGGAGCAAAAGAAGCAGTCGATTGCGAACGCCAGAAGAGCAAAACAGGGCAAAATGCACAGTAAGCAAGCAATAATATTCATGTTTGATTATTCATCAATATATTTGACCTTTTTTTTTTTTCCTCCCCCCTTCAACGTTCCATCCAGCTGTGGGCTACTCCGGCTCCGTGCCCCCGCACCACCAAAACCTCCACCCTCTCCACCAGCGACACGTGACCATCCCCACCAGCGTCCCCCAGCAGCAGGTGTTCGCCCTGGCCGAGCCACCCAAGCGAAAGCCATACCAGCTACTCTACAGCATCACCCGCAGCACCTTTTTCAGGAAGTGAACCAGATATCCGTCCATTCCTTTGAATGTACTCGTTTGTGTGTGTTTTGTAACATGTTGTTGACTGTGCCTTGGATGAAGAAGGGGCGACTAGTGTTAAAATACCGACTGTTTTGTTCTGGTACCCCTCAACTGTGTCTCTGTGACAATGATGCCTCATCTGCTTTTATGTTGACTCGTATTTTATTTCACAAAGGCTGGACCCTTTTTTTTTTGTTGTTGTTTTTATTTGGACTTCTGCTGCTGAACACCCTGTCTGTGAATAACATTGTAAATAAAACTCTTGTATTGAAAGACACGGTTCCAGGCTCTCTCCCTGGGGTAGACATTTTGTGCCAAACGGAGTCTGTAATGACGGTAACGCGATACGTGCGTTCTTCCTGACGCCTCGGCTCTTGTTTCACATGCCGACTGAATGTGCAGCGTGCTGGATCTTGCTCTTTTTCCCGACTGAAAATTGATCTTTCAAAAAGAAAACTGGAAATGAGGAGATAAAGTGGCCTTCAATGGGGATGCCCATGTCATGGGCCCAGAGCGCAAGGAGAGCGGAGATGTCGACGCATCTCAACAGGATGCTGTCAGTGTAAGAGCATATGACCTATTTTTTTTTTTTTTTAAGTACAAAAGGGTTTAGATCAAATTATTGGTGGAAGAAGTTTGGAAACTTTTCTTGCTCTCATTTTCATATTTCACAAATAGGTGAAGACTTTTTCACATGTCTTGTTACGATAGATGTCTGCTTTTATGTCAGCTGGTGAAACTGGTGTCATAGGCAAGTAAAGATTAATTACCCTTTGGTATTCCGCAGGGGTCAATCCTTGACCCCATTGTAAAAAGTTGTGTAGACTTATTCTCTTCAATGTATATTCCCTCCTCTCATTGAATGTGACTTTTTTCTTCTCCCCTTTCGGGAGTCTACCCTGCTACATATGGAATGACACCAAATGAATAATACATGTGTAGTAGAGTGTAATTCAATTCGGCAGAGTGGGGATGAAGCAGCATTACAATCGCATCTTTTGTCATTTTCTATTACCGTACAAAGTGTTTACGGATCTTTGAACATGCACTGCTTGACATTTCGCGGTAGTTTGTTCTACATCATTAATTACATCCTTGTCAAGAGTAGGCCATCTCAAAACTGTAACTAATGACCCTATATGTGTTTCTGTAGTTCACTGACATATCGGTTGAGGTCTCCACCGTGGACCACACGCTGCAGAAACTCTGCAGAATGTACAGGAAGACGAGGCGGAAGCCCAAAGGTCTGTCCAGGCTGTGGGCTTACCTGCTGAGCATTCGGCATCTGGCGGTCATCATCACGGCTGTGGTCTTTGTGCTAGTGGTTGTCCTGTGGTCGCTGCTCTGGGTCTTCATATGTAAGTGTGTGTTGACCAAGATGGGCAAATAGCTGGTCATTTAAGTCTCCAATGAGTTTTTTTTTCTTTTGATTTAAAACGCAAAAAAGTTATTTTCCCCAGGTTGAAAACAAAACTCATTCGGAAATACAATAGTCATTATGTCTTAAAAATACTAAATCACAATTAATACATAGTAAGTAATAAGAGAAAAATATTAATGTCTCCTATTTATGTCAATGTATCATTACTGGAGTATTGCAAAAATACTAAATCACAATTAATTCATAGTAAGTAATAATATTAATGTATCCTATTTATGTCAATGTATCATTACTGGAGTATTGATAATTTATGCAAACTATCAATAAGGCTGTAAACAGGATCCAGTACGTTTCTGACTGGTTTACGAAAATTAATAAAAAATGTTCGGACTAACATTTCTTGTGTGACATGCTCAATTGATCCCAGTTCGACGCGAGGGCAACAGTGTCGTGTACTTTGCTGGGATGTTCCGCGTGGCTAATGTGGAGTTCATCCCGGAGTACCGCCAGGCCGGATCCCACGAGTTTGTCTCCATGGCGACCAGAATACAGCATGTGGTATCTGGGGTGTTGTACTGTGCATAATACACTTTGTGCACTCAGACTGTGTTAAATGTTGTTGTTGCGCCTGCAGGTAAGCGACGTGTACAAGATGTCCTCAGTGACTCGCCTGTACAAGCACGCCATCATTTCAGACCTCAGGTAATCTCTCTAAACGTCAATATATTTTAACTTTAATAAATCCTACCCACTCAGCTCATTGTGACAAAGTCTTTATAAACTCATATGGTCTTGTCATATACTGTGTGTTTGAAATCCCTCAGTACCAACAACAAGGGAGGCGTGCTGGTGCACTTTTGGATGGTGTTTGAAGTCCCTCGCCTGAAGAGCGCGGCGGTGTGCGAGGAATGCGTAGCCGTCATCCTCCGGGACTCGGTTCACACCAGCCTGAAGAACCGCTCATCGGTGGGCTACCTCCTGGACCTCCCTGTAGACATCGACTCCATCCTCGTCAATGGTGGCCCCCTGTTGGTGATGTATGGAGTGTTTCCTTTTATTTAAAAAAAAAAAAAAAAGACGGGTTTGCTCTTTTCTGCAGCTGTCCGACGCTCGGATTACACCTCCAATGCAGCAGGTAGGTGGCTGTTTTGTCACCTGAAATAAATTTCGTGATCAGGAATTCGGAATTGCGCTATGAGTACCATTGTCTCACCTCTTCAAGACTTATTTTTGCCGTTTTATTTTTTAGGTTGATAGTTTAATTAAATTAGAGTACACATATAGTCTTTACTGCACACATCAAAATATAAGAAATTAACTTTGAAATATGAATATTACAGGATCCCAGTGTATAGACAAACTTTACGCCAGCCTTCCCGGTGCGAGGGTCCCTCTGAATGTCTTTTCATCATGGGGTGGTGTGCGGTGCCACGTGAAGCTCACCGCCGTGCCCGGTTTTCTCATCCGGCTGACCGTCGCCTCCTTCCAAATCGAGCCCAGTGACTGCGTCCATGATGCCCTGACTGTGTACGACGCTCTTCTGCCCATGAGGGGGCGAGTTCTCCACAGGTGACTACTACACCTCCTAATCAAAAACAGAATAATATGAAAACTAGAGCTTCTGAAAACCGAGCCTACTGTATTCCACTCCCAAGAATAAATGTCTTTGTTTTTGACAGGGAAGAGTAGAATAATATTCAGAGAAAACAAAGTGATTTATTTTATTTTATTTATTTTTTACATGTGTGTCTGCGTTGTTTGCAGGCTGTGCGCGCCTTTGTCCAGCTCCATCTCCCTCGTGTCCACCTCCAACGTCATGCTGCTGTCCTTCACCATGTCCAGCGGAACCAAGAGCTTCAGAGGACACTTTGAGGCCATCGCAGAAGAGTGTGGGTCATCTCTCTTGTTTGATTCGGAACACACATGTACCGTGGATTCAAAAAGTCTGCCCTGAAAACATGGCTTTTGAACAGGGATGTGACTTCTTATATCCACCGTTACCCCCCTCAGTGTGCGTTTCTCGCGTCGCGTCAAAACCGCATGCGACAGGCCAGGTCTACAGCCCCTTCCACCCAAGCCTTATGCCCCCCCACTGCTCTTGCACGTGGATCTTCCAGGTAACGCTCCGGCATACGTTCCTTATGCTCTGGTGTTCCATCATTTACCTTTATTTCTTTTTAAAATGTATTCTAGACTCCTGACGCCGCGTTGGGGGTTGCTCTGCAGCTTCAAAATTATGTGCTGAAACCAAAGGACATGAAGGGGTGTGAGCATGGATGGTGGAGGGTCAACGAAGTGATGTATGGGCAAGAATAACAGATTTTTTCAAAACATTTTTTATGATGGATATGCTGCAAATAGTGAGCCCAAATGCCACTAAACGTTTTATTCAATTATTTAAACATTACACAACACAGCAAAAAAATATTTTTCATCACCACATAACAGTGAGTGTTACCTCCTGCTTGCTAAATAGTGATCCAAAGTGGGTTATTAGCACTTTCTAAATGTTAATCTCTGCTCTTGGTCAATACATGACGACAGATGTTTGCCACATTGTGAGCCCACATATTGCTGAGCTACTAGTTTTTTGCTTGCCGAATAGTGAGCCCAAATTTTGCCTTAGCCTTTCAACTGATCATCATATTATTTAGTCACACTCGAGTACAACACGGTAGTATATTAATCTGTAACAACCCAGAGCGTGACCCCCTGCTTGCCAAATAGTGAGGCCACATCGAGGGGAAGTGATTTATTCTTTTGTAAAGGGCTAATACAACTGCTTGCTAAATTGAGCCTGCATGTCGCTTACAGTAACTCGTCGTTTTCCAGCTGCCAAATAATGACCCCAAATTAGTGTTGCTCAAGGAAGCCGTAGAATGACGTTGTCGTCAACAGTTACTGCGGTAGCTACGTGGGATACGAGAGCATATTTCGCATCGCAGAGTGCACCGCCAAGGTGGAATTTCGCTGCACCTCCCGAAGCGCCACGCAACCTTTCCATGTGACGTACAGCAGCTACAACATCAGCCAACGTAAGGGGGTGTATTGTTATCTGTAAATGGTGAGTCTAAGGTTATTGCACGGGGTGCCTAATTCTGTTTCTGCCGCTCTCGTCCTTCCCGCAGCCTGTCCGGAAAGTCACTTCCTGTGCTCCACCGGACTCTGCGTGGAGAAAAGTCGACGCTGCGACGGGCTGGACGACTGCCAGGACGAGAGCGACGAGGTCTTCTGCTGTGAGTCAAATTGTTCTGTATTGGCGATGACTTTTATTGCGGCTAGTATATCGATTTTTTTTTTTTTAATATTTCAAAAAGATTGAGCATTAAAAAAAATGAGAAAAATGTTTAAAAAAATGTCACTTGTCTTTTTGTTACAGCGAGGCCCACCAAAAACTGTGGCGGCAGCAGCCCTTTGCATCCTCTGTTTGCCTGCAACGGTGAGACGGACTGCGCCAACGGATTGGATGAAACCAACTGCACACAGGGTGAGATGTCCTTTTAAGAATATGCATCATATCTTTATGCCTCTGGCTTTGAAGTGTTTTGCTGTGCGACAGAAACAAGCTGCTCAGCCGTCAGCTATCATTGCAACAGCGGCACGTGCATCCGGAAAAAGAACGCCAGGTGTGATGACATCGCTGACTGTCAGGACGACAGCGACGAACTCGACTGTGGTGAGTAAACGAAATGCATAAACTCTACTTCATTTATACTTGCAAAAAAAAAAAAAATGGATACCGTATTTTCCGCACTATAATGCGCTTCAATAAATGGCCTATTTTAAAATTGTTTTCAGGGCGCACCGCATTATTCGGTGCATTGAATAAAAGCTAAAATTGTGGTTGCGGTTGCGTTTTGCAACCACTAGATGGAGCTACGCTAAAGGGGAATGCACTACAATACAATACAGCTTTATTTATAGCGAGCTTTCACAACCACTGGAGCTCTAACAAAGCGCTTTGCAGAACATTTCAAATACTACGTCCAAGAAATCTGAATATTGATCCATATATAAGACACATCGGATTATAAGGTGCGCTGGCGGCTTTTGAGAAAATTGAATACTTTTAGCTGCCTTATACTGTAGTGTGCAAAATTTCAAAGTGGCACATCCACAGTCTCAGTAGGTGCTGCTGTTTTGCTGTTTATAGTCACTAATATAAAACGATGATGTCATCCGCAGCTTGTGGGCTCCCCAACCACCCGGTGGCCCACCGCATTGTCGGCGGGACCGACTCCGAGGAGGGCGAGTGGCCTTGGCAGGTCAGCCTGCACTTCTCGGGTCACCTGATCTGCGGCGCCTCCCTGCTCTCATCCGATTGGCTCGTTTCAGCGGCGCACTGCTTCAGCAAAGACAGGTCGCTTCTCCGTCTCCTTCTTTCTGTCACCTGGCAGGTCCTCAAATTGACATCCTAACCCACGCAGGCTGTCGGACCCGCGCCGCTGGCGGGCCCACTTGGGCGCGCTGACGCAGGGTTCCGCTGGGCACGTGGCGGAGATCCAACGCATCGTGGTGCACGAGTACTACGATGCCCGCACGCTAGACTACGACGTGGCCCTGTTGCGCCTCAAGAGGGCGTGGCCGCCCTCCCTGGGCCCACTGGTGCAGCCCGTGTGCTTGCCCGCCGCTTCACATGCCGTCACCGCCCGACACCGCTGCTGGGTGACAGGCTGGGGACATCGCTTTGAAGAGGGTAAGGAAATGTTCACGTATGTATGTATGTATGTACATATATATAATACACACCGTATATATCTCCTCCCCTCGCAGATAAGTCGCTGCCATCTGTGCTGCAGAAAGCCCAGGTGTCCGTCATGAGCCAGACTGAGTGCAAGAAGACTTACGGCCCAGTGTCGCCGCGCATGCTGTGCGCAGGGGTCCCGTCGGGGGAGCGCGACGCCTGCAGGGTGAGCCACGCTTTCACACGAGCCGCCGAAATGACCCCGTATCAATGTATGCAATCCGGTTTCTGTACTCTGCTGTGATTGGCCAGGGGGATTCAGGCGGGCCGCTATCCTGTCAGGCGCCAGGCGGGGGCCGCTGGTTCCTGATCGGTATTGTTAGCTGGGGTGCGGGCTGCGGCAGACCTGGCCTGCCCGGTGTCTATGTCAGGGTCAGCAAGTTCACGTCGTGGATCTACGGCCACATCGGCTGACAGCCCCCGCTCATTAAAAAAAAACTCTACAAGCAAACTCACTGTTGGGTAAAGTATTGCTTCTTAATCCAGCCCACAAAATATTTACATATTCAAGAAAGTAGTATATATTTTTCCCCCTTAATTTCACAATTTTTTTCCCTAAAATCGGTTATGATGTACTGTATTGTATTTTTTAAAGTCATTTTTCCCATTAAAAAAGGTGCTTACAAGTACTCCAATAAACCATGCTTGTAAAATTAAGAAAAATATATTTTTATCATTTTCTGAAACAAAAAGAAAACAAAATTTTATCATGTATTTTATGAATGGATTAATTTATGATAATTTAACGAACTTTAACTGCATTAGAAATGACCATGAATTCGTATTTACTGAAATAAACGTATAAATTGAAACTTTTTTCAGTTTGCTTTTATTTCATTTTTTTTCATCGACAAACAACCCGGCCCATCTGCCAGTTTCAAAAAGTTAGCCCACGCCAATTTGACCGGCTTGGAAATACCATTACTGTTCGTGGAACGTTACACAATAAATGTTGATTGAATGTACCCCCCCGCGGCGCGTTCAACCTGCCCGCAATTGCCACAAGGGGGAAGTTTGCACACAATATCAGTCAACGGGGTTTGTACATAGTAGCCCCATTGTCCCCCCCCCC